AAACTGGGAGGAAATTGGGAAGAAAATGAGGGTGGGATTACATGAGAAACTGGGAGGAAATTGGGAAGAAAATGAGGGTGGGATTACATGAGAAATCGGGAGGAAATTGGGAAGAAAATGAGGGTGGGATTACATGAGAAATCAGGAGGAAATTGAGGGCGGCAAGGTCTCCAGCTGCAGATCTGGAGGTGCCCAAGGCCAGCTGGGAGCAGCCCGGGCCGGCGGGAGCTCCGTCCCCACCCCGGGGTGACCCCGGGTCCCCAAGGTGCGTTCCACGCCCGCAGCGGGGACCAGCCGCCCTTTGTTAGGCCGGGCGCCGCTCCCCGGGCAGGACACACCTGTCGGCCGCGGGCGCGGGATTGGCTGGCGCCGGTGCACCTGCGCGGGGAGGGCCCAGGCTCCACGTAAGACGAGCCTTGGCCTCGCTCCCCAACCATCCCTCCTCGATTCCAGCTCCAACACGCAGCTCCCGCGAGCGCCCGGCCGCCCAGCCCTCCCGGGCCTGCTTGTGTCCCATTGAAAGCTGGGTTTATTGGTTTCTTAAGCTCCGTTTCAGCTGCCTAACGAGGTGTAGCCGTGTTGTTTTTCCAGGTCTGCCTGAGGTTTTGTCACCGTTGGCTCCGGCTCCCGGTTCCTCGAGAAACCCAAGGTCGCCTTTTCCGGCACGCGGAAGAGGAAAACTCTCCTGGGCTCCTCATCCTCCCGAAACTCCTTCCCCACCTGGAGGCCGAGCTGGATTTGGGAGAAGCTCCCAGCACTGAAGTTTTTCCCTGGATTTCGTGCTGGTCCTGGTAAGATCCAAAGTATCCAGGTAGAGCAGGTAGGGAGAAAAAATGGGATTGACGGCGCACGAGAACAACTCCTTGGAGGGCTTTCCCCACTTTTTCCATGGATATTCCCTCTCTCCGCTCCACTTTCTCCGGGATTCCGCCCTTTTTTCTCTTCCTCCTTCTCCCCCTGGGTGGATTGGAGAGGGTTTTGTTGGACAGATCAGGTTTTGTGTGCGCTGGGGGAGGGGAGGGCAGCGCATGAATCCAAACGTTCATTTTACAACCAGTCCAACCAGTCAGGGCAGCTCCGAGCAGATCCAGGGCCAGGAGGAGGAGGAGGAGGAGGAGGGAGACGAGGGGGAAAAGCTGCCGGCAGCCAGGTGTCAGGGAGAGGTGGGGACAAAGGGAAATCCCATTCAAATCCCAGTAAAATCCATAGGGAACCAGCGCGGGACTGAAGAAGGCTCTTCCAATATTCCTGGATTTTGGAATCCTTGGCTGTAAGGGAGGGTTTCCCAGTTTTCGACGAAGAGTGAGGATTCAAAATCTGGGTTTGCTGCTCGCTCTGAAAAAAAAAAAAGAGCTATTGGGAAAATCCCATTAATATCCCAATAAAATCCCAATACAATCCAGGAAACCAGCGCGGAATTGAAGGATGTTCTTCCAATATTCCTGGGTTTCAAAATCTTTGGGTTTAAGGGAGGATTCCCCAGTTTTCGACTTAGAGTGAGGATTCAAAATCTGGGTTTGCTGCTGACTCTGAAAAAAAAAAAGAATATTGGGATAATCTCATTAAAATCCCAATAAAATCCATAGGAAACCAGCGCGGAATTGAAGGAAGTTCTTCCCATATTCCTGGATTTCGGCATCTTTGGGTTTAAGGCAGGATCTCCCAGTTTTGGGAGTTAAAGGCGCAATTCGAGTTTGCTGCTGGCTCTGAAGAAACAGGAATATTGGGAAAATCCCATTTCAATCCCAACAAAATTTATATAAAACAGGGACAGAATTGAAGGGGGTTCTTCCAATATCTTTGGATTTTGGAATATTTGGATTTTAGGGAGGATTCCCCAGTTTTGGGAGTTAAAGTCACGATTCGGGTTTGCTGCTGCCCCTGAAAGAAAGGAATATTGGGAAAATCCCATTAAAATTCAATTCATATCCCAGTAAAATTTCTATCAAAGGAGCATGAAATGGAAGGGCGCTCTTCCAACGCTTGGAGTATTTTGGAATATTTGGATTTCAGGCAGGAATTCCCAGTTTTGGACTCAGAGGGAGGATTCCAATCCCGGCTCGAGTAACGAGTGCCACGTTTTAATGAGCTCTTTAATTACGCAGCGCTTTAATGAGCTCGTCTGCCCCTCCTGGAGCCCCGGGCTCGTTCTCCCTCGTCCCAGCCGAGCTCCTGGGCTCGGAGGGGATGGGACTGGCGATTCGGGCAGCAGAGGAAAAGTTGGGAATTGCGCTCGGATCCGAGCGGAGCCGCAGAGAATTCCGGCTGCGGCGGGAGGAGCCGGGAGCCATTTTGGGTTGGGCTCCGCAGCCCTTCCGCACCTCGGCCTTCCCTGCCTTCTCCTGGAAAACCCAAAGATTCCCAGCTGGAATCCCCTGCTGGAGCCAACCGGGATCGGCTTCTCCTCAGCTTCGGAGAGTTTTCCTGAATTTTACAGGAATTTCCTGGTTTTCCCTGAATTTTCGAGGAATTTCCTGAATCTTGGAGAAATCTCCTGGTTTCTCCTGAATTTTAGAGGAATTTCCTGGTTTCTCCTGAATTTTGGAGAAATTTCCTGGCGTTTCCTGAATCTTGGAGAAATTTATTGAATTTTAGAGAAATTTCCTGGTTTCTCCAGAATCTTGGAGGAATTTCCTGGTTTCTCCAGAATCTTGGAGGAATTTCCTGGTTTCTCCTGAATTTTACAGGA